TGTTACACATTATTTATACATAGTTATAATATTAATGTAGTTTAATATCGTTGAAGAGTGCTGAACGCGACGGCAGGGAACAGCATTACGGCGCCGGCAGAGCGGTGATGGGAACGATGAGGGAAACAATGAGTGCGTGAGAAGGGGGAAGCTGCCTTCGGTGGCACGCGTTGGGCTGCCCTGGTTTAGCACATAAAGATATTTAAATCTGTCCATTGTTTATGGTTTGGCTTAAGAAAACTTTTCATCAATATCTCATAATTAACAAAATATCATAATGTCAGCTAATTTGATAAAAGCCACTTTATCACACGATTTGTGCAAATCCTTTCTCCAGAAATATGAGTTGTTGAATAATTTTGTGATATATATTCTAAAAAAAGTAAATAAAACATAATTAATTCTAAAATTAAAAATATCGTAAGACATTTTTTATTTAAATAAAAAAAACAAAAAAGTATACACACACACACACACACACACACACACGCACGCACGCACGCACGCACACACGCGCGCACACATATATGTATATGCAAATGAAGCCATATTAAAGCATTTTTTCAGATTTTATAAATATATTTAACCTATATAATTAACTTAAAAAAATTAAAATATATATTGTAAATTAGGTTTATGTACATTAACTGTGCAATTTATGTACATTAACTTCTCATTAGAATCAGTATCTTATTTTACTTACATACTTCTCTAGAAATTAAACTTGTTTAGAATGTTACTTGTATACAGGTTATAAATAAATCCTGTGCATTCTTAAGTCTGGTAAGGGACATTCATCATGAATATATTCACACACACATTACTTTCTATAGAGTCATTAATAGCATGTGAAATATCACAAGCAATATGCAAACGGTAAAGTGGAAATGATAATTATATGTGTATCTTGATGTGTTCCTTCAATATAGCTTTGCCTTCAAATCTTTCTTCGCAGATTTCGCAGACAAAATCGTCTCCATCGTCGCTGTCGTGATGATACTGTATAATAACATGTGACGTTTCGTTCGGCATTAAAGAGTCTTGTTCGTTTTTAATATGATTCTTTCCCTCTTTCAGAGTTTCAACGTCCATAGACATATCTGCGCTATTTATCTGTACGATTTGACTGGAATAATTCTCATGGCCTTGCGGATTTGGTATCGCTAGAACGGGTAGCGATTCGTTCTGCTTCGATATTATATTTAAAGTGTTGTCCTGTTTAGATTCAATCAAATGTATCGTGGGCATATCATTCTGCCCGACTGTTTCATCGAGTGTATCAGATTCTGCGGACATAATGTTCGTCGCGTCGTTTGGCTTGTCTATAGCAATCATATCGAGAGGATCCGTTTGATCTTGTTCTACTTGGATTACCTGGATATTCTCATCTTCTTTGCCATCCACAATGAATCGTATATTGCTATGCTTGAGCTCGGATATCGCTATGAAGCCGTCACTACGTTTCTCCGCGGCAACTACAACAAACGCGTTGTTTTGCTTCTCATTTATATCATGCATATCGTCTGATTTATCAGCTGTATCCGTGATGGATAATAAGGCTTCGTTTTGCTCTGCTTTCTGCATAAAGTCCAAGTTCTGTTCCGTCTGTGTGTTCACGTTACACGACGATGACTTTGACGACTTTTTCTTTGCTGATTTCGACTTTGGAGAGGCATCGTTATTAGTTTTCGCCTTTGCTTCAGCTATCATCTGATCCGAATGCTTGACGATGTGCGCGCAGAGTTCGTCGCGATCCTGATTCAGAGCACCGCAAAGCGGACACTGATACGGAGGACTCCCTTCCGTTTCGTTTTTCCCTGCTGCGTGAACCCACCGAACATGTTCGCGCAGGACTACCTTCTGATTAAAAGCTCTCGAGCATAATGGACACACGTGCGGTCTCTCCCCTGTGTGAATTCGCTCGTGTTTCCTCAAAGTTCCACCGTCTCGAAACGCCTTCCAGCAATATTTGCAACCGTACGGTCGTTCACCAGTATGTGTACGATTGTGTATTAAGTACCCCTGACGAGACGAGAACGTTTTCGAACAGGTATCGCATTGAAAATGGGCCGGACTTCCGGCGTGCGTTCTACCGTGCTCCCAAAGACCCTGTCGCGACACGAAGCTCTTTCCGCATTCCATGCAAGTAAATGGCGAATCTCCAGGATGTACTGACAACCTGTGCTCGTCCAGCTCGTTCTGCTTCTCAAATTGCGAGCCGCACACCTCGCACGAGTGAGTCTTCTTGCGATGAATCCATTGGTGGCGAAACATCTTCTGCTTGGTCGTGAACTTCTTTCCGCACTCTGAGCAAGCGTGCTTACCCCATTTATTATTAGATACACCTTGTTCGATGTTGCTTTGCATTATTTTCTTGGCGCAGGTGATTTGATGGGTCGTCAAGTGATTTTCGTCCTGAAATTGTTTGTCGCAGTACTCGCACTCGATCGGCATATTCCAGTTGTTCTTCGAAGTATGAATCTTTTCGTGAGATGTCAAAGCGGTCGCACGAGAAAATTTCATTCCGCAATGCTTACATGTGTACTGCTTGCTGTTATTCATTTCGGCTTCTGCGTAATCTTGTTTATTCGTATTATTGCACCTGTAAAACGTCTCGACTTTGACTATCCCATCGGGAGTGTTGAACGAATTTATCGTTATGTTATACTGTTGACTGTTATTTATGGAATCATTGATATTATTTTGCTCGGTATACTCGGTAAATTGCGTCATTTCACCATTGGGCATCACTGTAAACTCTTGCAGCGTATCCATCTTGGTATCCTGATTCGGTATTGAAGTAACTATCGATTGTCCGCTATTAAAATTGTATGACGAGACCGGCCATTGAACTTGACACACATCATAGTTTTGTACAGACTCGGTAGATGAAGAGGATAATACCACCTGAGAAGTATTCTGTGAATCAGGCTGGTTCTCCGGCCATTTTCTGAATGTCTCCACTGGCTGGGACATATTATTACTCTGAGACTGCATGATGGCTCGTCCCGCAACATATGTGTGTATCTTCATGTGATTGGACAAGCTAGAAGGTCTCTGGAAGTCCGAGCCACAAATAGTACATTTGTGCGGTCGTTCAACATGTTGCGTGTGTGCCTGTATCGTATGCGACTGCAAACTCTGCTTGGAACGGAACAAGTTACCACATGTTCTGCATGCATGAGGACGATCTACTTGATGGCAAACCATATGATTATTCAAATCAATCTTCCTTTCAAATCTCTCTCCGCAAGTGGTGCATGATAGCTTGGACGTTGACTGACATACGGTCTGATGTTCAACCATTTCTTCTTGGGTGAAGAGACGTTTACAGACTGGGCAATTGATCTTCTTGTCCTCGAAGCACGGATACATACCACCCAGTTGACGTAGAGCTTCCACAGCCATGGATTCGTCGTCGCCTGATGTATACTGCTGCTGTTCCTCCTGCTTGATGTACATCGGATACACTACCTGAGTGTCCTCCTCTTCTTCCGACTGTTCCGCAAGGATCTCGACGGTACCTTGTGACTCTACAATATCAGTATTAGCAGTATTACCGACCGTGACCTCTGTAAGGCCTTCCTGGAGAACACATTCGTCGACTTGCTCGCATATCTCCTCGTGAGATATCATGTTTTCCTCTATAGCATCGTGCACTTCACCGAGGGGAAACGTCACATAATGTTCTGCCTCGTGAGTCTCCATTCTGCTTGCTACTTAAATTACATCAACATATATTAACAAAACGTATTATAACGTGCACGACGATGCTCGAGGAACCTAGTTTCACCTCAACTCTCAAGTTAGGTCTTCTAGGTTAAGTTGGGGTTTATCATACCTGGACGTCGCGTACTCGTGTTTATTGCTCTATTAGACGCCTGTGACACGTCACAACGATTATCGTGCACGATTTGCAGCCGCTGAATAATATATATTCCTTTTTTCGTTCTGTGAGAATACGGGTACCGACGGGTATCGACCTGTACAGAAAGAAAGATATACAGTTTTACATTTATGATTTATAAAAGTGTATTTGCAGTGATTTGAAGATGCGTACGACAACGTGCGGAGAAATTTCCGAAAAAAATGAATTAAGTCATTTCGATGATTCAATTAACACTATCAGCTGTAATACTGCGAGGTTATTCATAGAATAGTGCCCCATATCGGGCACTGCCTGAAGTTGCGCGATAGTGAACGGTTTTTCGATAGAAGAACGAGAACTCTCGATACTTTCAAATAATTAAATATCGTTATATATCCGTATCCGTTGAAATATCTGATTTTTTTTGGATTAACTAGAAAAGATATACAATAAATGATAAGTGATAATTAAAAAGATTTTGAAAATAATTAATTTTCTTTCATATATTTACAAGTTATATTTCTTGCTGCTGTTTAAATGAAAATTACTCGCTACGAAGAAATAGATACAGAAAAAAAGAGCAATAAAAGAAGTAAATCTAAGATATTTTCTTAAAGATCTGCATTTTATTTTATACTTCTGTCTTCAAAGTGAGATGGAAAACTAATGTAAAGTGTAAAAAGTGCAAATAAAAGGATTAGAACTTAAGGTGCAATTTCACGCAGCGTCAAAACGCTGGCGGCTCTCCCCACTCTGACCTAGAGAACCTCTAGTAGAGAGAATCGACAACTTGGTCATGTGACTAGCTACACCGTGATTGGCTGGCAAGAATACGTATGGATTAAGATATTGCGACGCCAATGCATTTGTCAGAACGGATGTTCAGCTGATGATGGTAACACATATGAGGTTAGTGATCGTTAATTACAATAGTAATTGTGTTTTTTAAAACTGATTTTATATACTTATATTTGTTATATATATATTTGACGAAATGTTTATTAGGAGAAATTATAAATAAACTTTTATTTATATTTTCTCCTTACATAAGAAATATATATTTAGGTATTGAAATTATATATGTTATTGATAGTTTGTAGATGCAATTACTTGGTGACACGCAGAATTTTTAATCAATTTATTGTACTTATATATATTACAGGCAATATAACGTAATATACATTCATGATTCACCATGCCATCGTATTGCTCTGCATACAAGTGTTTCAACAATAACGATCAAGGCTATGCATCAGATACTCGTGTGATGAAACTGTTTTTTTTTAACTTTCCATGACAGTTCTTTCGATCCTCTGAGGAACACGTACAAAAACGAGATGGAACTGAATCAAATTTTACTCATTTGCGTCCAGCAACAAATTCAATTTCAGAAGGCTTAAAATGTACCTGCAAAGAAAAAATTACAAATATGTTATGACTCTAACAGTATATTATTACATGTTTATCTTCTAAAGTATAAAATCAGAGAATACTACACATAACTACTAACTTCGCAAAGTTTTTGAGAACTGCTAGGTGACCAGTTTTTGCCCCTTCCTACTGCAGCAATCCATTTTCTTTTTTAAAATTTCATCACGCGGGTATCTGACTAATGCATAGCCTTGATCGCTATTGTTGGAACACTTGTATGCAGAGCAATACGATGGGATGGTGAATCATGAATGTATATTACGTTATATTGCCTGTAATATATATAAGTATTATACAATAAATTGATTAAAAATTCTGTGTGTCACCAAGTAATTGCATCTACAAACTATCAATAACATACATAATTTCAACACCTAAATATACATTTCTTATGTAAGGAGAAAATATAAATAAGAGTTTATTTATAATTTCTCCTAATAAACATTTTGTCAAATATATATATAACAAATATAAGTATATAAAATCAGTTTTAAAAAACACAATTATTATTGTAATTAACGATCACTAACCTCATATGTGTTACCATCATCGGTTGAACATCCGTTCTGACAAATGCATTGGCGTCGCAATATCTATACGTATTCTTGCCAGCCAATTATGGTGTAGCTAGTCACATGACCAAGTTGGCGATTCTCTCTACTAAAGTTTCTCTACTCTGACGATTCTGATCTAGGGTTATTAAATGTCAGGTTTTGAACCGGATTGTTAGGTATTCAGAAGTCTTGTCCGGTGATATGTCAAACCGGACGTCATATGTCCGGTTTTTTGGTAATCGTCGCGGATGGACGAGGTCCATCAAAATCAACAGAATGGAAATTGAATTGATCAAAGCTGAATTACTTACAGTTAATTTTGACATGATATGTAATGAAATCGTAAATTATGTGAAATCTATAAAACCAAATATATTAAAAGCAGTAAAAAGTGTGTACAGAGAAGTACAATTTATCAAATAATTTTATGAGCGTTAAGTCATTATAATTAATTCATTATAAGTCATTATAATTATTTAATGTTTTAACAAATGTAAAATATATTTTAGTTTAATGTGTTGTTGAACATGTTAAGAATTTTAACAATGTTAAATTTTACATGTATGAAACATGTGTTAATTTTGCTTTTTTATCAATAAACTATATTTTATATTAAACATAGTTAGTTAATGTTTATGTATAAACCAAATTCTGGAACAGATTTTCCCTTCG